CAGATTATTCTTACAATATATATATATATATATATATATATATATATAAAGTCATAATTACGATTGATGAATTAGTTTTTATCGAAGAGCTTTCGATTTCATATGATATAATGTAATATAAAATTGAATATTTTTTCCTTAATCAAATAAGTTAATAAATATAAAGAAAATAAAATAATTTGATTATTATGTCCAAAATATAAATTTAAATTACGACCTCTTTGCAGGGATGAAAAATTCAATGCTTTCTCTTGCTCTCGTCCATTCGTTCACTTTCAGTCATACTTGTCAAACATCGATAGGCTTGTCAATATCACACATAACCTCTAATTTAAATATCTTTTCTAAGATTTTCTATACATGCATCGTGTTTAAATAAATCTTTCCCTTTAGATACACAAACGCCACCTTGGATATTGCACAATTGCGCAATATTACACACAGTTGAGATCACGAGCTGGAAACGTCATGTCCCGAGTCGAATTTTTCGCGAAAAAAATCCTCTCAGGATCCATTTAATGTACCAACGCAAACAGACCGTCACGCCGCAAGTGGAAAAGCTTTGCACTGTTTCAAAGAACGCAATGCAGTCTTGTGAATTAATATATTACACGTAATTTTTTCATCTTATGGGATGTATTGGCTGGCACAGTTATTGCATATAAGCAGTATTGTCTGATGTGCTTCATTGGATACAGGAAAATAATTTAACAAAGATTCTTATCTATTCGCATTGACACGGATCAGAGTGACAATCTATAACTGACAGTATTAGCTCTAACTGTTTATATCTTACTTGGCATGTCGGTTGACATTTTTCTATACGTCGTTAAATCGATTAGCATTATCGGTTAATTGCTAACCTAAATAGACTTAGCATAACGTATGACTAGTGAATCAACACCTGACATGTCATACGAACTTCTTACAAGCTAAGGACTAGAATAGACTCTTCTGATCTCCTTTGCAGGATGAAAAATTTCTAACGAAAAATTGAAAAAATCTCAACGGAAACTTACGTGACTAGATTTTTGTTTTCCTTAAGTAAGTAAAGTTATTATTAATAAGATCTCGCACCATTTATCTTATCTATAGATAAATAGATTCTTTTCACATTACGCGGGATACATATTTCGATTAGCCACCGTTAATACCAACGGTCTATTTTTTTTTTTTTTTTTTTTAAATAAAAGAAAATGAAACGAAAACTTATATCTATGACATGTTATAATATATCGAGTCGCAAAGCGTTTGAACATATTCTTGTACCTTTAATCGCGCACAAGAACAAAATATTATTAAAAACTAGATTAATTGCAGTCTCCCATGCTCGCATTAATATTATACAAATAATATATATGTTCGCTCTTTGCCTGGCAAAATTCTCGATACCTATTTTCATTATTATTATTTACTTACATTTCTAATAACCGACGATTATTCAGGATAAACTACATTTGGAAACGACTAGATAACATTTGATATAGATCATCTGCAAGCTTAAACGATAAGATATGCGCTGCACGTTTCTTCGAATTATAACGACTTTCTTAATTAACAACTATTGTCCTCTGATCATCGTGTTGATACGACAGTCCTCAAAAAACGAATTAAACATTTTATAAATACATTGACGATGGAATTCAAGAAAAGATAATATAAAATAAACATTTATACATAAGCAATAAGCATTCTTATTTGACGAAACTAGAATTAAATAACGTAACGTAATATAATGTAATATAATGTAATGTAATGTAATGTAATGCAATGTAATGTAATGTAATGTAATGTAATGTAATGCATAACAAGTGATTCTTTATTGAATTTTAAAATAGTTAAAAATCGTTGATTCGTCTTTGAAACGCGCAACTTGAGCAAGGCAAAGCTCTTCACCGCGAGTGCGTATTACTACTTAGCAAGCTAAACTGAACGTAAAATCGGTATTGTCCTCCCTTACAAATTATTTCATTTCATACGTACATTTCATTTAACTGCTATGCGTTACATGAACACGCAGTGACGTCAGGCGTTTCGCGGGTCGTAGCCGTCCAAAAAGCTTGAAGTGAACATCAACACGAACGATTTATTCTGACTGTTTAATACTGATGTGCGTTCGGAACTATCAATACTATCAATATATCTTCGCCTCATTATATCTTATAGGGTTTACACGCGATTAACCTTATAACGTGTTGCGCTTGATCGCGTAAGAAATTGTCCATTCGACTTACGCTGCGACTCGTAAAACGCCACGCGTCCAGTCACAGGCATCGTTCTGCTTTCTGTATACATCTTATTATCATTAACAAGTAATTCTTCTTAAATTTCGTACATGTTACAGGTTACCTTACATGGTTACCACCGATTTGAAATTAATCGGAAGAATCCGAGTCAGATTCCGCGACAGCGTCCGACGCTTCGCCTTGCGTTTCAGGCGTCGTTTCAGGAATTTTTCTCGTATAAGTCGCTGATACGTACGCTCCTGGTCCTTCACCTTGCGTGTGCTCGATTCCAACTCTGATCGACAAATTGAAAATTGTAAAAATCTCTTGTCTCTTTGCATGGTTAAGATATAGTCACAAGATTTGTACCTGTACTCGTGTCGCGACAAATTCTTAACATACTTCTCCGGTGGATTATCACTATCGTGATTCTGAAAGCTAACGCTTCTTGCCGTCGTGTGGGACACTTGGGTTGCAGGCATAGTAAATTCTACGTAACAGTACTCGGCCAAGTTCTCAGGTATCTGATCGTAAGAGGTTAGGGCCATTCTACATATCAGTTGGTGAGTCGTGTACGCTCCTGAGAATATATATTATCGATGATGTTCCAGAATGTTCGACAATAACAAAGAAAAATATTTTAAAGATTTAAAAATAATGCTTGTACCTTGGCCTTCTTTCGGTAACCTGGGCATTCTCCATACAATGGCACGATGTTGATGCTCGTACTTTGCCTGTCCCGACGTTACCTCCATAAGTTGAGGTTCTAGATTATCGACCGCGCCAAGAAATCTTTCGATACCCTTGATCTTTCCCGTTCTTCTATGGGCTGATTTAACAGATCCGTATCTGAAGTGTTTTTCCACCCTGAACAAATATATCCAACACTCCGGGATCGGGAAACGGACCATCACGTCTTCACAAGGCACTTGGCCTAGTTTTCTCGACGCGAAACCCGGCACGAGAATATCGGCCCTCAATTCTACCTATTAATTAAAATAAAGAACAGAGTCAGAGCGTGTGGGTGGAGTTGAAGCGAGGCCGTGACACTATCATCAAAGCAAAAGCGAATATTGATTCGTAGAATACAAGTGCAATGATATTGGATTCTTATATAT